TCACCATGGAAACAGAAGCTAACAATCAACTTCCCTTCCTAGATGTCTTAGTATACAAAAAAATCCAATAGCTCCCTAGGACACACCATCTACCAGAAGAAAACACATACAAACCGCTATCTATACGCACTCTCACACCATCACCCAGCACAGATCAATTCCGTAGCCGAGACACTCATCTCCAGAACAAAATGCTTAGCCGACGAACAACACCTAAAAACCGAACTACACACTCTCACTAACGTACTAACAGCCAATGGATTCCAAAGAAAGAAGATTACCCACCTAATCCAAAAAGAAACCCCAACCAAAATCCAAGACAGAGGACAAGAGAACGCCAAAGCCCTCCCCCCATATATAAAAGGCACTACAGACAAAATCAGCAAGATCCTCCCAAAACACAACATTAAGACAGCATTCTGCACAAACAGAAAAATATCCACCATCCTAAGAAACCCTAAAGACAAAATCGAGTTAGAAAACCGAGGAGTATATTAAATCCCTTGCACAGCCTGTCCCACCACATACATCGGACAAGCCAACAGAAGAATAAGTGCATGCATTGAAGAACACAAGAACTCAATCAAAAAAGAAGAACCAACCTCTTCCCTGGTCCAACACCTCAAAGCCACAGGACATGAGATTGACTTTAAAAAGACCAGAACTATCGCCAAAACCAAACACTTCAACAACAGAATAATCAGAGAAGCCATAGAGATAGAAAAACGCCCACACAGCATGAATAAACGAGATGATACCTCCCGCCTACCAGCCATTTGGAAACCCGCCCTCATTAACAAATGAGTACATAACATGAAAAATGACACCAGACCCACACCCACGAGGGCCACACAAGATGCTATCACCACACTTCCACGTAGAAAGCAGACTCACACCCACACAGAAGATGAGACATGACCACGGACCAGAAGCCGTACCGCAGCTGCATCACTACCCGCTTCAAACCCCTCCGACCTATACATGAAGCGAATGGACGCCCACCATGAAGATGTGGCACGACCACGAATGCGAAGCCAAACAACAGGATCACAGCTCACCAGCTCAAATCCCCCAGCAACTAAGAATAACCTGAGCACAACCAAGCCCCCCACCTGAACAGAACAGCCAATCAGAACACAGCCAACCCCCCTACCAAGCAGAACACAGCCAAACCCCCTACCAATGAGAACACACCCCCACCCAATCAGAAAACAGCCAAGCCCCCACCGAATCAAGTCACATCCCCGCTAGCAGCTAAAAGGAAGAAGCAGCTGCAAGCTCACATTACTCCAAGAAGCACAAAGCCGAAGACACAAGCCTGAAGATGATGAATGAGACTTCATCGAAACATCGCCTAGATATATATATATATACACACACACACATACATACATACACACACACACATCTATCTAATCTATCTATCTAATCTATCTATCTATATATCTACATGTAACTATCTATATCTATATCTAACCATATCTATATCTATCTATATCTATCTATCTCTTTTATCTATCTATCTCTTTTATCTATATATCTATCTATATCTATATATCTATCGATATTGATATCTCTATCTCTGGTTCTTCCTTGTTGCATGGCACTTTGGGTAAATGTGCATTTAGAAAAACACAAGATGACATTTAGAGAAAACGGAAGAAAAAGAAAGAAGAAGGGAAGGAAGGAGAAAAGAAAGCAGGCTGCTACCAATCTCCTGCCTGCAAATGTTTTTCCCTTTCCTGAGGTCAGAAATGGCATTGGGGGGGGGAGGGGGCAGGAAGACAAAACAGGTTGTACACCTTTTTGATTGCAGCTGTTGCTAGGTGAGGACACACAAGCTGGACTTGCTGTCTCGTAGCAATAAAACTAGCTGAGCTGAGAAATGACGTACAAAATAGGATGTGAGTCCCAAATCCCTTTCAGGACTATGGGTGAAAAAGTTTGACGGCAACGGAGCAGAGATTCCCCTATTCCCGCACCTTTTATTCATAATATTAAGACGCACTCGTAATTTTGTTCAGGTTTTCTCTTGCTGAAAAGAGGGGGGAACACCTTAATTTTTGATTTATGAGTTTGAGAATCGGGAAGAGTAGAAAGTATAAAGGCAGCTAAGGTACAACATGTAAGAGAGAATAACATATAAATGTGACAATTCTAAACAAGATTGGAAATCATTTCTTTATATCTTTTTGTTTGTTTGTTTCTTTTTCTTCTTGGTCTCTCCCCCCCCCCCCCAATTATTTTCTGTTTGCTGATCCTTGTTTTTCACTCTGCTTTCAGTTTTCCTTCCACCTGAATTGTTCTTGCCCTGCAAAACACTAGTAAAAATTAAGAGAGAGAGAGAGACAGAGAGAGACAGACAGACACACACAGAGAGAGAGAGAGACAGACAGACAGACAGACAGACAGAGAAAGAGAGACAGGAAAAGAAAGG